TGGTCTTTCAATGTATCCCTTGTTCTCCTGAATGATTATGTCATGATATCTAATTATAATGAAAATGTCTGAGTAATTAAATGCCAACTACAATGCTTCATTACTGGTATATCTTACTTGTCACTGATCATTTTCATTCTTGAGTTGAGCATATATAGTCTGCAAGACCTTTGTCTACATTCAAAGTGCACATGAAAATTTTACTAAAGTTCTGTCACATATCCATGACTGCTGAAGTATGAAGCTCTCATTGTGATCTATTGTATCTGATGTGGCTATCTTTTCCTGTCATTGTTTAAAACAAATATTAATGTAGTCAAAGGGAATACACTTAAACATAAGCATGATTCCTAGCATTGTGTAGTATGTGTATTGTTCAATGATTTGTAACCAGTATGGGTGTGACAAGATCAAATGTAGAACACACAAATATGTGAAATAAATTTTTTATCACAAAACATTATATTTTATATATAATAATACTGTAGACCAAAGCATTAGATGGAGGTAAGTGGTTGGTTTTGTGAAGCAGCCATTTACCACTGTGGAAAGAGTAAGCACCTGGTACCCATCGGGTGGGAGATATGGTATGTCAAAAAGCTATTGTGGTCATAGAAACTAGAAAAATTCTAATGCTTTACAAGGAACTGATTCAAGGCCATTGAGCCTACAGCCTGACACAGCTCTTTAAGTAAGAAAATAAGCTAAAACTCAACCTGTATCTGATTCCAATGGACTACTTTATCAAATCAGCTTGTTTATGATCCCAGAAATTTCTTGCCATGCCTAAAATTACACTGCCCTCACTTGCATATTTCCCGCCTTCCAGGTATATAGGGGTAAATTCCCTGTAAGCTAGACATACTCTACGCTGAAGAACATCTTCCCTAAGCACTCTGTGTTCCCATATATATCGAGCTGGACCATACATAACTAACAGTGATCGACGAGGCATGGGAACACGCATAACAACATCGATTAAATCCTGCTTCTCTGAATTATCCAGGACACTGTTTCTAAGAAGAATGGACTCATCACTAACAAAATCTGCATTTTTATAAATGAATTTTCCATCTTGATTCAGTACTGGTGGATAGGTGTAAACATCTAGAAGATTGTAACGATTACGATCTCCATGATACTCGGTCAATGTCAGTACACAGTCAGCTAGTAGATTTACTGTGACAATACGTTCACCCCACACCCAACAGTCATCAATGTGAGGATCAATAGAAGCTCCCCTTATGGGACTGTACTCTAACGAGCACTGTTCTACTGTTTGATAACCTTGCAGAATGTCCACGCCTTTAAACTTCTCCTGTACAAATCTGGAGAATGCTGGAAAGCCTTTAAAGTTGCCAAGTTTCAGTCGCTTCTTTTTAAAGTTGCATTTGGGGCCAAAATTCTGCAAACATAAAGAAGACTAAATGGTTGCCATTTAATGATTATGTTAAATAAATAAATTCTGGAATCAGCAAGTTGTACAAATATCAGTTTTGATGGAGATGATAATCTGTTTTTGCAACATACAGAAAAAATGTTATATACACATTAAGAATACTGATACAACTATATTTTCTAATAAACTTACCTGCTTCCTTCTTCCACTTTGTGATGGGTCCCATGTCATCTCATCTATACCATTCATCAACCTCTCTTCTTCATCAACACTAAGGAAATCTAGCTATAAGAAGAAAATATGACTAAAGATATTAATTCAACGTTTAGTGCATTTTCTAATTGCCGTCACAGATTTTTTTGTGCATACACAGAAGATATAATTTCTGATGTCCTTTAATTTACCTGAATAAAAATACCTGGAAAGTCAACAGATGTGCCACTATGATTAAGATGTTCCTCATAGGTAAATGCATTCCATCCAGGCCAAGCCTTGTTGCACCACGGGCAGTATACATAAATATTTCTGTCCTAAGCACAAAATAAAACATCTACTTCTTTTGCATTATGCAAAACACAAAATAAAATTACTGATAGGCTTAATTATAATACCAGATACTGACAAGTAATGCGTGTTACAAGATCATAGGTTAAGTGCCATTGCGATACAAACCTGTTGCAAGACAAGGAAGTCTTTCTTAATTATTCCATATTCCTCCTCGCATATCAGACAAGTTCTTACTCCTTTACACCCACACGGCCGTATTGTGTCCATTTCTACAATTTACATCTAGTACTTTGTTACAACACATTCAGCTCACACCGATTCACTCAAATTCTATCACATTATCAGTGGAGCCAAATTAAATAGAACTTACAGATAAACGATAATGTTGGGTTCTTCTATAATAATAATTATAACAAACACATATTTTTGTTAAATTAACATAAAAAGAATCAGTCCATGTTATGTTACAAAAATATAATTCTACTGCATGAAAATAATTGGAAAAGTGATATGAATTGGCCACCATGGTTATAAATAATTCGTGTTGGCAGTAAAGAAACATCTTGCCGTGGGGGGAATAAGCAAAGTGTACTCATGCGTACTGACGTGTTACAATTTTGACGTCAGGTCATGCGGGTTACCCCATTCCTAGGCAAACACGACTTGTAGACATGGACAGGCCCATTAAGTGTTACATAAAATTAAAAATAATATGAAGATTTCACCTAAAATAAAAGTTTCACACACGGCGCAACAACCAAGAAAACAGTCATCTCCAGACTCGCCACCGTGGAAACCTCAAATCCTACAAAGTTCGCCATGAATGTATACATGTGAATTTTTCCTGTGGGCCTTAAAATCAAGATTGTCGCATTCGGTATAAATTTAACACCTTTGTGCTCAAGCATGAAAACGCAAAAGAAAAGAGTGGACCAAAAATATGACGTTAATGAAACCGATGTTCAACTTTGCCTCAGTTAGGAAGAACATCTTCCTGAATATTTTATGACTGCATTATAATTGTTTGATTTCTTTTTGTCAGATATGAGAAAAACCATTTACTAACATTTCCATTTATTCCATAATAAGGCAGTTTAGTAATTAATATGCGACTAACACAGTTAAAAGCATACTATGGAGAGACTTCAGAATATTGCTGCTTCATAACTCTCATTATTGAGAGCCTATAATATTCCATGATTAAGTCTATATGTGGCTTTGTTAGTGTCAAGGTCCCTTATAAAACCAAACTGTTCATTAACTGAAATACCATTACAATTTAAATTGTACATTACTCTTTTGTTCATGTTTTTTGGTAGTTTACAAAACCTAGTTGAAAGTAAAAGTGGCTTATTATTTGACATCTACTTCATTTAGATACATGTCCTTTGCATGTCAGCCAGTAAAAGTGTGGAGCAAGTCAATGTATAAAATGAACTTCACAATACTACATATTACACGAAAATAAACACATTATAAAGGAAAAACCGTACTAAACAAGCATGATCAAAATGCCTAACAATATAAGATCATTTGACTTGTCCTGTTTCTACGTAGGGGTTTTACAGCTGATCAGTAACACTGAAATATTACTATACTTAGAGAACATTTGGATAAATGACTTCAAGATTTACTTGTCAACAATGAGGAAAATTTTACTTTACAAGAAATTTCATCATACCCAATTGAAGTTTACTTTCAGAAGACTGAATAGTGACATTATTTACTCTGCATGCGTTGAACTATTCAATTGTAACTGAATTTGTATGGGAGAATTTAAGAAAAAATTGTAGAACGATTTCATCTTTCATTCAGATTTGAAATTATTGTAATGACCGCATTGTACAAATGCATAGAAATTATTTGAGCTTATATTTTCAAATAAAGTTGCATACACGGATTTAATTAGTTTGCTTGGATAAACGTGAAAAACAGGTTGCATAACTGAAGTTTACCTTATCCAAGTAAATATTCACTACACTTTTAAGGCATTAACTTAGTTATGTGGTTCAGACGTGACATCATTCTTATTTCACCACTCTTTTTGTACTCTACCGACACATCTTATTTACTCCAACCATAGCGAATTGTTATCAAGTGTATACTTATGGTTATGATCATGTACACATTTTTATTTATATATATGTGTAAAACATGTCTGATTCTACACATGTTTAAACAAGAAGTTATAACTTGATTAGAACAATTTCTATTACTATCTTTTATATTGATACATTGTCATGTCTTACGTAGGTGAACATGTGACTTACTGTTGCTATGGTAACGTAGGCAATAAAACGTAAATACTTTCTGGGTTAATGTAACCAAGGGCATTTGCATTTAATTTTAAATACAGAAATGTTTAAATTGAAAATTCTGCTTCTTGGGCCTTGTGCTGTAAGTAGTATTCTAGTCTGAGGTTGTAGGTTATCAGAGGTATTCTCAGTTTTTGTTTGATGAAACTGGGTAGTGTATTCACAATTCCTTGTTGCTAATAAAGAATATCAGTAGCTACTCAATGGAGCAGAGTTGTTCTTGAAAATTTTATAGCAACTCAGCTGGTTGAGAAATGCCCTGTTATTTTTATAAACCAAGGGGTTCAAAACCATGCTCATAAGAGCCTGCGACTGGATGTTATGCTGAACCATTTGAATCCATCTCAGTATTATCCTCTAAACTATGAATGGATCTGTGAAGTGGTTTATTTCTTTAGGTTTCTAATGTTGTATGAATTTGGGATCTTCCCTGTGCGTGCAATATGTCCTGCCAATCTCATTCCCTTAAATAAATAAACCTAATAAATATTTGGTGAATAGTATGAATTTTGAGTTTTCTCACAGTTTTCTTCCTTTTGTTAATTGTGCCTTTGTCATTAGATTTAAGTATTTATCTCAGCACCCTCAATCCATTCTTTCCTTAGGGTGAGAGAGAATTTCACTCTCATAAAAAACATATTAAGGAACATATTAATTTTCTTTATATTATGATTTTATGCTGCATTCTGGTGACAGGACGTTAACATATGGTTAATTGTCTCTGCATTTAATTCTAAACTGAATAACTGTACAGACCTACTGTATCATTTTACAATATATTGTCTCAGTTGTTAATATTCTGCTTTTCAAGTCTTCTTATATAAAAAGGTATTATTGACCTAGATGATTTTTATTTTTCAGAGTGGAAAAACAACAATTGCAAATTTTCTGTCAGACGCTACTGAAAACTCGAGTGGTGAATACCGACCAACTCAGGGAGTTCGGATATTGGAGTTTGAAATGCAAAACTTGAATGTCAACAATGAAAAGTTAAAAGCAGAAATTGAGCTATGGGATTGCAGTGGTGATCATAAGTAGATATTTGCTATCTGTTGTTATTTGATATTTGTTATTTAAAGCAATATTTGCAGTACTGCATATACACATTACTCTTTTTAACATGACCAGAGTAAGATAACAGATAACAGTTGTCACTATTGACTAAAGGGCAAGAACTGAAAGTAGAAACAGAAGAAACGTTGGACAACTTAGGATATAGTAGTACAGATACATTACAGATTTTTTTGAGAGCTTAAAGATGGTGTCAAATATATGGCTATTGGGGAGACCAAGGATTATGTGGAGAAACCAAATGAGGGATAATGTATGAAAGAAGAAATGAAAGAGTGGATATAGATGCAAGAAGAGAGCTAATGGAAGATAGAGAAGAATGGATGGTGATGGCTAAAATTTGTTTGTGATGGTTCATTTTGCTGTACTTTTAAGTTTTGTAATGCCAGTGTTTGTAATTTTTGTAGGTTTGAAGCATGCTGGCCAGCTCTACAGCGAGACACTCATGGAATTATATTTATTTATAATCCATCCTCAGCACACCATGCAAGAGACTTAGAACTGTTGTACAACTATTTTGTCACACAAACGGGTTTCAGCCACAAAAATTGTGTTGTGTTTGCCAACCAAATGCGACCTGCTGATAAGGACCTCAAGCTCTCTTCTAAGATGTGTATGTCAGCATTTCTTTCATTTTACTTTTCTTTGTTAAAATAACATTTTGATTTTGATTGATTTTAAACATTGAAATGGCCTACAGAATTCAACATCTTTGACAGTTTCTTTGTACAGACGTTTTTTAATATTTCACTACACTTTAATAAATGTAGCCTTAATTCTTAATCACTGTATGCATTCCAATTACAGTAAACAATATTTTATCTATAGTGCTCCAGATAGTTCTATTTTCCCTCAGAAGAATACTTTCTAGCTTTTCTTAATAATAAACAAAACACTGTCTACTTATTTTTAAAACAAATTATCATATCATTGTATTCATGTAGGTAGTAATTAAGAGGGCTAATGATTATTTTTGTGTTCATTATGGTCTACTTGGATTGTGACTCTTTGTAGTCTTGTAGGTGGTTACCAAAATTTCAAGGGAATGTATCACCAATATCTTCATGGTTGAAGTGAAGATGGAAACATTGGTAACTACCAAAATTATGTGACATCACAACCCCAGATCACAATCAGCTTCAGTGTGCTGTGAAACCTCAAATTTCATCTGTTTTTATATCATTATATTATATACTCACAAAATAGGTATGAGCCGGCGTAGCTCAGTCGGTATAGTGACTGGCTATGGACTGGGCGACCGGGGTTCGATTCCCGACGGGGCAGAGGATTTTTCCTCTAGCCTCTGTGCCCAGACCGGCTCTGGGGCCCATCCAGCCTCCTATCCAATGGGTACTGGGGTCCTTTTCCGGAGGTAAAGCCGGCCGGGGCGTGATGCTGACCACTCACCCCCTTCTAGTGCCGAGGTCAAGGAAGAGAGGAGCTATACCTCCACTACCCCCCAAGCGCCTACATGGCATATAGTGGGATAGCTTTACTTTTACTTACTCACAAAATAGGTGAAAGCATGATTGTCTTCATATAGTAAGAAGTCAGATTTTATTTTCATGGACAAAATGTTTTATCGCAGATTAACCTAACAGTCAATTAAAGGTAAATAGGAAAAATGTTGTGACCCATATAGAATTAATACTCAATTCAAATTGAGAGCCAAGGTAGCTCAGTTAGTATAGTGACTGACTATGGACTGGCCCCAACAGGAGCATAGGATTTTTCCTCCTGCCTCTGCTTTCAGACTGGCTCTAAGGCCCACCCAGCCTTCTGTTGTCCAATGGGTATTGGGTTCTGTCTTGGGGGTAAAGCGTGGTCGGGGTGTGATGCTGACCACTCACCCACATCTAGTACCAAGGTTAAAAATGTGCAGAGCTCTCCCTCTCTTCCCAAGTGCCTACATGATGTGGAGCAGGACTGCTTTACTTTACTTCAATTTTAAAATTACTGATACTTTTTTGTTTATTATTTTCATTACAGTAAACATATCCTCATGGGTACTTCAAGTACCAGTAAGTGTTGAGGAAAGTGGGAATCGATTACAAGCAGATTTCAGCAGCTTTATAGCATCTGTATTAGGAAGACTAAGGGATCACAGTGAACAAGAAGAACTCAACATTATCAACATGCAGTCTGCTTAGAATTTATTTAGTCTGGACATGTTTTTCTGCAGTCCAACGCACCTTATTAGAATAATGTATACAATAACAAATTCTGTCTGGTTTCTTGTGATAAGTTTTCTTAATTTATTCTTTCCACAGTTACCCTCCTGACATAATAACCTGTGATGGGGCATAAAGGACACCTTTGGAACTTCCATGTACTGCAGAGTACACCTTTTTGGTCTTCATATTATTACACACTGGGTTACTCAGTAGGCAATTTTTGAAATGTGCATTGTTCAAAGTGAAATAGACAAGCAGAAATTTTACATTTTGCCTCAATATACCAACAGATTTAACTGGAAAGTCTGGAAAATAAACTATGAAATGTTATTGATTCATCAGTTATTTTATGGTAATGTATGTTTCAACTACTGTAGTGCTGAATGAGTAAGATAATTTTATGATTTGAAGCTTTAACAGTGACTAAATGCAATAAAAATCCTTTTGGGCCTTCAGTTACATTAAGTGGTTAAGTGGCTGATGGTCTGAGAGGACTTCACTGGGCAAGATAAATAACTGTGAACGATGAACAGTATTATCCTGACACAAGCTTAGAAGACGAAAGAAAACTATGAAAATTCACATTTCTTTGGGATACAACTGTAGAATGTTACTGCTTGGAATATTGGGCACTGCAAAGTAAAATGACTTTGTAAGTGCCACAGTATATGAAGCCAGTCCTCTTAAGGGCTAAATTTACAGGTAATATATTAAAAGTCTGTAAGAATGTGGGTTAATATTAATGTTTATTATTATCAATCATTTACAATGTAATATAAAACAATATAATTCTTATAATAAACTGTGTTAGCATAAAGAATAGATCTAAAGGAGGTGATGAAACCGACTGTATGATGACTAAAAGATTTTAAATTAACTTTGATTTCATAATGGCAGGATATATGAATGTAAGAAGGAAAACATAAGAGAGACAAAATTATACAATGAAGAGCTTCACAGTTTGTACTTGTCACCTAATACTGTTAGGGTGATCAAATCAAGATGAATGGGATGGATAGGACATGTAGCATCAAATGTTCACATCAGATGAGCTTCTTCATGGAATTTACAGAAACTGATTTCTGGAGGCATCATTTGCAGTAATCTCTCTATGGGAAGCCTACAGTTTGTGAGTTCTTGAGAACAAAGTGAGAGATCTTCTGGACGCAAGAAAGATGACATAACACGATGGAGAAAAGTGTGTAACTGGGAGAGTCACATTTGCACTCATCACATAATATTAGGATGATTAAATGAATATGAATGAGATGGTTGAGGCATGGAGATATAGAAGAGCATCTAAAATTTTGTTTGGAAAGCCACAGACTTGGTAGATTTAGGCATGGATGGAAGGATATTAAAACATATTTCTGATAAAAAAGGGATGAGGTTGCTGATTATACTGAACAAACTCAAGACACAGCCTAACTGAAGACTTTTGGGAACACACTGATAAACATTCCAGTTCCATATGAGTATCAAATTTCTTGACTGGTTGAATAAATATGAAACTGAGATAGCTTTCTTTTGGGTCATAATACTGTGTAGTCTGGTAGAACTTATAACAGACTACATGATGCTACCTACAACTCAGAAGATGACCACTGTCATACCGTTACTGTGAGAAACTCAAATCCTACTAAGAATGAAGTGCTCAAGGAAAAGTACTTTAGAGATGGTTGGTTGGATTACATAATACTGTATGTAAAATTTGACAACTGTTGACAACAAATGATGTGATCACTGCTACAGTCTTCTGCAGATCTGAACACCTCTGATAGATCTATGCTTCAATTTTAGTTGATCAAATTGTGCTACTGCAAACATAAGACTTGGAATGGCTGCAATATTTCACTCATTAATTTAACAGATGACACTTTCTTATTAAACTTGATACAGACAACAAAAACACCAAGATAAATGTTATATGGTAACTAATAAGAATGGTAAATGTCCCATACACTTTTAATAATTGCCAATCAGACAAAAAAGAAAATTCTCTTGAATAATTGATGAATAAAATTCAATAGTGCATTTTACAAGACTTTAAAATTATTTCCATCAGTTACAGTAGCACTACAATTTTGTAATTCTCATTATTATAATTCAAGATTAAAACAGTAAGAGTAAACAGTAATATAGTTTATGCATCTAACAAAAGAAACATATGTTAATATGTCCACCAACAAACTTTGTATCAAGTTATTCAAGATCATTGACTAATGATCATACCTACAATAAACAACAGACTATAGAACTTGATAAAGGTACCAATTTTGTCCAAAATCAATTCAGAGACAAGTAGTCTGATGCAGACAAACATGCAATACACAATCTTCAGTAAACATATTTAAATATTACAGAAATTTACAAAAATTCTCTCATCCAAAGAACACCTCTTTTCATGTCCCAATGAGGATGAGAGGCCAGATGAAGTGTGTTTCAAGTGACAGTCACAGCTTGGAGAAGACTGGTTATCTCCAAAACTGAACATATGCTTGACCTCAGAAGATAAAAGAACCAGGCAGCTTCTTCTGAAAGGCACCAAAAATATTTGAAGACAAGTAATAAGAGACAAAAATTAACAGTTTTTATTCAAGGGATACCCTAAAGTTAACTCTGGAATAAAAACCATTTGTTTCTATAATTTTACATTTGAAAGCCTGTCTTAAAATATTTTCTCCACTGTCTGCTCTGGAACTGAACAAAATAATTACAAATCATTCTAGAAACAGTAAAATGTGGTATGTGCTCCTACAAGTTTACATAATCTGATTTCAGCTAAAGTAATATGTAATAGCTAACATAAGAGTAACACACATTAAGCTCTGTGAAGACGTTAACGAAGTCAAATTAAAAATTATAAAACCTAATATTTATTTTGTGTAAAATTTACCTTAGTATATATCTTCAGTTTTTGAAAGTTATAAAAAATAACCTGAAAGATTTGTACCATACACATATTCATTATTTCCTCCACAAAAGAAGAGAGTATGTTCATGCAAAACTGTTTCGATATGTTTACAGTTTGTCACCACATACTATTTTGTGTGCCCAGCTACAAAGTTTCAAGTCACTGTTAGCAAACAGAACAGTATCTAGGATAGACTTCACACTGTTGCCACCTTCTTTCCTGTTTACACAAAGGGCTGTAACATAAGCTGCACATTTCTTAAATATCCCACATAAAATTTCATGACTGAACCACACAAATTTATGTGGATGCCATGTTGGTTTTGTTAATGGTACAGAATTAAAGCAATAAATTGGCTCCAGAATTATGAGTTGGATAATATTTTGTTGTTGGACATTCACATATTTCTTTAAACCTCTTAAAAATACAAACAGCCATGTATAAGCTGCCAGTCCAAAGTAGGAATCACTGAGTAAGTAAACAGAAAATGTCTGTATCACTCTAGGAAAACAACTGAGCTATAATTAAAGCATAAACTAATCTTACACAGACACACACACATACTTTCAGATTCAAATTACAATTACTTCTATCTTCATGTAATAGTAATTACTAATTATAATGAGTAATTACATTTTTCAGTCTGTATCTGCATTTAATAAACATGCAAAATATTATATTAAAATATTATGATTACCACAACAAATACTCAATTCCTACAAAGAATTGATGCAATACAACCTCATTAAAGACTTTATGAATTCAACTGCAGAAATTTCCAAGTTCTCATCTATATTTGACGTGTATTATTGTGTTTCTGATGAATGTAGTTAAATATTTCAATAGATCAACACTAATTTGCTATACCTATAAAACTTGATTATACAGTAAATATATATTATGTAAAACTTAAAACAGTTCTTCTGCATTTTCTTACATATGAAACTCTCACATACAAAGGCACCTTTACTTCAACTTATGCTATACACAGTTTCTTTTAACATTACCATTCTCAACTTGAATGCATAAATTACAACCTTATGAATCAATCACTTGTGCAAATTATAATATTCTTTCTTTTTACAGCTTAAAAAGAAGCACTAATAAATATTTTCATGTGAAGTGTGTTGTCTTTTATAATATCTTGTTTACTCAAATACTTGAGGTAAATGTGTCCACTGCTAGCTTCTGCAGGCAATACTAGCTTCCAAGAAGAGACATTGGGAGGGGGGCCTAACAGTTGAAAAGTTGGTCAACATGTATCTGAAAATGCACTGTCATGAAGTGTGGCTTTCTTCAAGGATCCCAGGAACAGAAAAGGTAGGAGGTAGAAAAAGATAGTTGTCAACTTACACAATAAACATCTGAATTATAATTTCACAGCATGATAGAATATGCAATATAGCAAATATTGCCCACTGTATCATACCTTGAAATGGTGACAATCCTGTCATGGTATTCAGTTAAGCTTGTGGGTAAGAATCAACTGAGCTGATGTCTTATGATTATGGAAGGCATAATCAAGTATCTCATAAAATGCATAATTTCACAAAGCATAATTCAGTGTCATTCTGTGTAACAGGACTCCAAATGATAAGTTTTCCACAGATGTCTTGACAGTCTGATTTAGTTTGGTATCCACGCTTAGTGGCGGGGAAGAATATAATTACTGAACTTTTTGTGTTATTTCGAAATGAAGACAACAATTTATTTAGAGATACAAAAGACTGAAACAACTGTAATGCAAGTAATATTTTTCAGGTATGCTACCCATGTCAACAACATATAATGCAATAGAATTTGGAAGGTAATAAAGAACCCTACACAACTGCTGAAACTATTACATGCATAACTCTCCAATTTAAATAATTACAAAACCCTGATCAGCACTATTCTGTACCACTAAGGACATGAGTTATCAGAGTTAACACTAATTTCTGAATCAAGAACAGTACTTAAATAGGACAAACACTTTTCTCACCATATCAAGAAATTGTTTTGTGTCATTCTTCAACATCCACATTAGAGCTTGGTTTCTTTGAAGCAACATCAACCTATTAAAACAATTTATCAAGGTCTTAGAAGGGATAAAACCTGGGGCAGGGCAGTGGAAAACAGTTTTATTGGATGCTATCTGAGGAAAGTTTTGTGAGACAATAAGTATCAGACTCTAACAAAATATGAAGACTGCTTAGGTACATAATAACTTATCTACTGATTTATTTGCAGGGTGATAACTTTCCCTTAACCGTTTGTTATTAGGTTCATTTACATTGTTGTATTAACTGTTGAGGTTGTGCAAAGTAGAATGAGATGCAGTATGATCACTGTGAATGACAAATAGGAAATAATATAGGAAAAAGCAGTTGTATCCTGTTTTACGATGTAGCCCCAGTACTTGCCTACAGAAACTTGAAAAATTCACAAACAGAACATCTACTACAATCAAGATTAAATCCAGGTACCCCTAAAATGCAAGTCAGATATATTAATACTGTACCAACCTGGCCAATAAATCCCATCAAAGGTTTCATCTGTGTGCCACTGACCTTGGCAGTTGATATGTCCTGAAGTCCATTCTTATGAAACACACCAGGACAGTAAGTTTTATAATTCTCTGGTGATGGGCCAAATGCAGTAATGACTTCAGTTTAAGATGGACATCTGTAGATTACTATATGAAGCAAATCATCAGTTATACATTATCCCATTAATGAAGCTGACAAAACACCTCTATGATTATCATGAATTTGTAGGTTCAAGGCCTGTCCTGCAAGTATACTGCCTGTCCAAAATTATTCTCATAGGAGGTATTCCTGTATTAATATATAAAATAGTATTATCAATACGAAATTTCATAGACAACTTCTGACAAAAATCTATGGTACATGAAATGTGTCAATAGACAAGGATCATGTGTCATTTTTAATATGGCTGCAAACCACTCACCTAACTGATACATTTTTCAAACCTTCTTCCAGCATGAGTTAATAAATAATATGATATTGGGTAATTAATATGAATTACCTCTGCAAGAAAGAATGGTGTGATATATGATATCACTGTACATACAAGAGGTGGCCCAAAAGGAATAACGGTATATAAATGAATAAAAATGTACATCCACAACAAAGGATTAAATATTATGGTACAATTTGGTACAGTAAGGTACATTTAACATTCTTGAGGTAAGTAGTGGACCCCACTACTGTATAGTAAGCAATGCAAAGGTAATGATGCAGCAAAAATTAGGCTAAAATAATGGAAACACAGTATGTAATAAAATACACAGGTGAGTCAACAGTACATGATCTTGATACTCCAACAAATACTATAACAACCTAGTAACAGATATCTGTTCATCATCAAAATACTCTGGCACACCTGCTCACATGTAACAAGCTTTTGATACAAAAAGCTTACTATAAATGCAACTGGAGTGAAGAGGGAGAAAATAGGTATATTAGAATTACTTTTGGCACAATGCAAAATCTCTGCAATTCAATTGTTAGTGATAGCTAATTTCTCTAATGTCAAACTGTTTCTCATTAATATAAATATGATAAAATACTATATTTAACCAACTCCTAATATGACTTCAAATGAAAGGTATTTCACCAAAACAGGACGACCTTAATCATTTCCATGTCCGAATGAGTTTTCTTGTCTAAATACTTCAGAAAGTCTTTGGCATTTCTAATGTCAAATGTCTCATGTCATCTCTTGACCCTCAATGCTAATGTATTTTCTGTAAGAAGTAAATGAAAACTACAAACTACTCAAGACATTTATTTTCTAGAATAAACTCAGCAGAGATTTTAAAAAGATAAATTGTATTTAAAAAAGGAAAAACAATTATTATATTTATCAACAAACATTTTAATCTTGTATATTTACTTCAGTGATATTTTATTTTGACACAGATGCATGGTTTTGGTTTCATCTGCATCAAACTAATTAAGACAGTAAGACAGATTCTGCTGAAATAATATGACCCAAATTCACTGATGCTCAGAAGCCAGTTTTCTATGGAACAGACACAATACGATACATATGTTAAGAGACAGTACAACCATACAAAATATCTGATTTTCAACACTTTCTGCTTCTTATTTTGGGCATAAAGGTCTCATTCAAAGAACACAGTCTTACGGGATGTAGCACTGTGTAGTCTGGTAAAGTTTACCAGTTCAATACTGGTAAACTTCTACCAGACTACAATGCATTACAACTCAGAAGACAGTCATCTTTGGACTCACCAGCACAAAAACCCCAAATCCCACTAATCTCTCCTGTATTGTTCAATAATTATGGAAGTCTGTAAATTTGTGCAGTAATAAGAGGGTCCCCACCCAATGAGACACCACCTTTTTGTGGTGGGTGGGGGGAGGATTGTGCCTTAAAAGGAAGATGGGAACTGTGCCGGCGGGAGCATAGGCTCCTGGCAGGGTCACCATAACTGGACAGGCCCTGGCAGAGGAGCCAGATGAAGTGTGTCCCACGATAGGGCAGGGGGAGCTCTTTAGGAATGGTAAAGCCAACCTACCTAAGGGAGTAAACCCTGACAGAAGACCCAGGCCCTTCAGGTTCAGGGGTTGTGCAGAGGGTTGGTAGCCCCCCACCCCCAACACACACACAGGAAACTTTACTTGTAAGCTTCAAAGAAATCAGCTGGATGGTCTTGGTAACAAACTTGATAAGAAAAAGGACAAATGATTAGGAATAAAGAAGACACTGAAAATAGCGACCTGGAATGTGAGAGGCCTAGGGACCAAGCAGACTGAATTGGATAAGGAACTTAAGGAAAAGAAGATAAATATTATATATATATAAAAAACAGTTACAAAAAAGAAGTTGAAAGGAATAAAAGATTTGGAGTAAATACACAAATAAATTTTATCAAGTGATGACTGTTCCTGTACTACTATATGGAAGTGAATGTTGAATAATGAGAAAATGAGACACAAAAATTACAAACAGCAGAAATGTGATTTTTATGACCTGTGAAGTGATTGGATAAAATCAGGAATGAATATATAAGAAAAGAATTAGGAGTATTTTCAATTAATGACAGAATAAGAAGACACAGACAAGACTGGCTTGAACAAGTGGTAAGGATGGAAGAAGGATGAGTGCCAAAGCAGGCCCAAAGGAACAAGAGATCCTGGAAGACCACGAAGAAGGTGGAATTCACAGAAGCCGGAACAGGCCTTAGGCCTAATCTGTGAATTGGAGGAGAAGAAGTAACAGGCTTGGCAGTAAGGGAGCAAGGGTGATCTAAAAAGTTTACATGTTTACCACCACAATGAAAACAAACATTCAGCTATGTAACTCTGTTCTGCCACTGCTGACAGTCTGGCTTGATTTTCCTGAACAGAAAATGTTACAGCATCATAATAAAATAAATTCACTACAACTTCACACAATAATTTAACTAACCTAAGAACTGATCCACACAGCTAATGTCAGCCTGTTTACTGTCCATGGTCATTTCCCACAAAATTACTGCACTATCAATCCTAAATCACTGTGTCATAAACATAAAGTATATGTATTGACTCTAGCCTTCTAGATAGTATGAATGTGGATCATGGTCTTCTGGGATGAGATGCCATTTAGTCTTATCAGTGCTTACCAGCATTTAAGAGGAATGTATCATCTTCAACTTCTACCCTGATGATATGGAGGCAATAAATTCCTCTGAAAACACTGGTAACCACATACAAGACTACACAGCATCACAACCCAGAGAGACAACAATCCACATTTTCACTGTTACTTGAACCTCAAATTTCATGTTTTGAGATAGTGAAGTCTAAAAAACCTCACTTTAGATTTAGGTAAATATGATAGAAAACTATATGGCTTAAGACATACAGTCCATCTTACAGCAAGTAATACTGTAAACTAATATGTAGATTGCATGAATGTAGAAAGTTATATCAGTACAAACAATGGCAGTAAAATATACTTTCTCAGTAACTGTCTCATTTTTTAAAATTTACTGAATACTTCAGTCCATATTTGAGGCAGTCAATTTTTATTACTAAATCATACTACACAAACTTTAACCCTTCAGTGTGGAAGGGCACTATACAAGCCCAGAGCTGTGGTGGAGAGAGATATTTTACCAACAGCAGTTTCTTTCTTTATGGTACTTGTGCCTTAATTTTTTTAACTACATGCATAACACTTATACTATTGAATGTCCAGGCTATAAAATTAAGCACCATTTTCACTGTAATTCTTACAAAATAAACAATAAACAGTTTACTTGGTTCCCTGACACTGGATGTAAGCTTGGTTCCACCCACATCCAGTAAATATTTACAGTGAAAATGATACTGCACTGAAGGGTCAAAAGAAGTTTAACATATCTGGGCACCTACTGTATGTGACTGCAGAGACTGTTTAATTCAAACTGTATGCGATAACAACATTACTTATAAATAACAATTGTGACACAAATGAACAAGAACATTTGTTCCTGCTATAGTTGTCTTACAGTGTTTTCTTACAATTTGAACTTGAAGTGATAAACATATATATACATTTACACAATACCTGTATTAACTTTCTATTGTGAGGGCACCTAGGTTTTCAATCAACATTAAAATTTTCATATAGGTAACAAATTACTGAAAATGTCGACATTTAGTGACAATGATATAAATTACATTTATAAAAATATAACAGGTTCATATAAACATATTTTTAGAATTACACCTGCACTTAAATTGCAAATTATGAGAAGAATCAGATCATGCCTGAAACAGTGTGTGGCATCAAAGAATTGGCACATGCACACTTTGAAATGTTTATGTTATGCTATTATTGCATCCACAAACATAAAATTAAATTATGATATTCAATTGTTTGAGAAGGCAAGATAATCAGAACTGGTTTTACTGTTTGTGTCTCATAGTTACTCAGCTTCATGTTAAAAATGTTTGTATTACTCCACACACAACTAAAATTAAGTGTAAATAAAACTCACTTCTGATGCATTTAGACTAAAATGGGTATGACTAGGAACTCCATTTAGCTTGTCAAGTGACTATGCATTATTTATGCACATTTGGAGTGCATAGGAGACCAGCCATAGGAACAGTTTACCATTTGCTGCACTCAACATAACAAGGGCAAAACTAAAAAGTGTCTATATCAAAGCATTTTACTGTAGTTTTAAAAAGCAACAAAGAGATCCATAAGGCAAATTTAATAACTAAGAAATATTTGTGCATATAAAAAATGCAAGGTATTAACAAATGTCAACATAACCACATGGTAAGCTACGTAACTTCTGCAGATAATTTGGTTGAAACACACTGCGAGTTTTGTATAACCATAATTTTAGTGATGTAAATGATATACATAAAACTTCAACTTTAATATTCTCAAATATGACATGCTAGAAATAGCCCTAAAACAGAAGCACCATTCTTCACGCTGCATTAACAATATAACTATTCATTTAATATTTTATTTACAGTCTATAAAATAACCTATCTTCTCTGAATTAATTTTAGGTAAATTTTATTATGAAATTCCATCTAAATATTAAATATACAGAGAAAGTAAAAGTGTTCTTCACAGGACCTGTTGCTAAAGTTCAAACAATACAATTTCATCCTAGACTTTTTTAAACATGTTCTATTGTACACTTATATGCAGTACAACCTGGAGAATCTTTTTGAAGATGAATATCCTGTATATAGCATTTTATGGCGAATATGGAAAGATGCATAATCTATGTGATTTTAATTAACTTCTAAAGAAGACCCCAACAAGAGAAGTGAACATCAGACATTAAATTACATTAAATCAAATAAGACACAGCAGAATTTACACTCAAAACTTCTCTGTGGAGAAACATGCATAAACTCTAAACTGAGGAAAATTATGAATGGAGGCAATTTAACACTGTGCTGAGTTGGGGCTTCGGGGGTTTAACAAAAAATTTGGGGAAACACTATGAGCTTCATAATCTGACCTCTCCTCCAATTATTAGGGCAATCAAAGCAACACACTTGATACAAGCAGGACATGTAGCATACATAAGGGAAATGAAAAGTGCATACAGAATTATGACCAAAACAACCTGAAAGAATGATCACTTTGGACCCAGGCACAGATGGAAGAAACAGATTAAAATGCATATTAGAGAAATCGGATATGAAGAAATGTGGTGGATTTGTCTACTTCAGGACAGAATTCAACGGCAGGCTGTTGTGAACACTGAAATAAACACTACAGTTTTTGACAAACTGTAAAACCTATTCTTCTTATAAAAGACTTTATACAATGTAGTTAGTTACAACTATTAATTTGTATGAGTAGACTTCAACTGTAATAATGCTGTTATCAATAAATATTAAATGAGGTTTCTATTGTAAATGATGCAGATTTCACTTGTATGCAAACAAGAACAATACTGACTTGGCCATGGAAGCATCTGCTTATGAGTAACTTTATTCTATGTTTGTAGAAGTGTCAGTCTTGAACTAACACAGACAGTAAAAAAAAATAAGTTACTGAACCACTGTCCTTATCCTTTTGATTACTGGTGATATTTTTAATATACCCCTTTCCTTTGTGTTAGGAAGTACTGTGCCTTCCTTAACCCATAAGCTTATCAGTTTTGTGAAAAAACCTGATGAACATTTTAATTTCAAAGCACGAAAAAGAAAGCACTTTTGTGTGTGTTTGCTGCCATTTTGAGATGAAGGTCAATATAATTCACAACACAATCCTTGGAAATTCTACAAACAGCACGTCTATCAAAATTGTAACTACAAGGAACTTTAAAAGCAGGGTCTCCCAACCATTTGTACGTTGACTGTTGCCAGGTTACGGCTTAACTTACAATTTATAGTTTGCATTATACAATCCTCAAAACAATTAAGGGGTCAAGTTTTCAGACGGTTGTAAAGTTTCTTGGACTGAATCTGAAATAAGCTCACTCTGCAGGGTTGTAAACAATGCTGATACGAATGCAACTGTGAACGGTGGGATCAGTTACAGTTGGTTATTTCAGGGAGAGCAAAGGTAGTGAAAACAGGAATGAAGGAGAGCAGTGCCTGTTTGTTATTGATGATACAGGAATACTGTTGTTATGCAGCGCAATGTGCAAGTTCGGCAAGGTGTAAGGAGGCATGTGCCAGCAATAGAAGCAACACAGGCTGTCACGCTTCTGCAAGAGGGCCGAACACAACGGTATGTTGCCGGACAACTCGGTGTGGTTCAATCCGTGATATGGCAACTATGCCGCCGATACCAAGGCACTGGAATGGTCATTTGATGTCGAGGACAGGGTCGTCACAGGGTAAGAACTGCTAGGGATGATCGTTTTCTGCGTCTACAAGCCTTGAGGCACCGCAGAGATACTGCATGGGCCTTGCAAAATGACCTTTCCCGAGCTACAGGTCGAAAAGTGTCTGACCAAACAGTGAGAAACCGTCTTTGAGAGGTGGATCTGAGGTCCAGGCATCCCGCTAGTGCCCCGATTGATGAGGGAGCATAAACAAGTGCGAAAAGTTCGCCCAAGAACATCAACATTGGCAATTGCGTCATTGGCACGTCCTTTAAGCTAACGAGTCTAGATTTATGCTGCAGGGCAACAATGGACGCATCCGAGTTTGGTGATGGCCAGGAGAGTGTTTTCTACCAGTCACAGTCCAGGAAAATGTCAGTTTTAGTGGTGGCTCCATAATGGTGTGGGTCAGTATTTCGATTGACGACAAAACCTACCTCGTCATCAGAAACGACTCTATGACTGCGCGGCGTTACATTCACAAGTGCTGGAACTTCATGTGCGTCCTCATGCATTGGCATTTGGAGAAAATTTTTTCCTAATACATGACAATGCCCTCACGTTGCAGGAATCGTCAGGGAGTACCTCCAAGAGCACAACATCGCCATTTTACCAAGGCCAGCTTGCAGCCCAGACATGAACCCTATTGAACATGTGTGGGACATATGAGAAGAAGTGTCAGAGACCGTCAGAACGCACCTATCACACTGCGGGATCTGGAAGATGCCCTTTTGGAGGAATGGGTGCAAATTCCCCAAGTCAACATTCGGAGCATGCCTCAACACTGCACAGCTGTCCTTCGAGCTGAAGAGGGTCCAACCGCCTATTGAGCGCAAAAAAGGTTTCAAATTGTGTCTCAAAAACTTTATGTGGATAAAACTTCCATTGTTTTCAGTGTAACTATACTTTAGTTGTGTCTGCTGTTAAAACGAGGCCTGTTTTTGTTTAAATAAAGGTCTATTTTCTAAACTACCCACATTTCAATATATTTGACAAAGCCCAAGAAAATTTACAACCATTTGAAATCCTGACCCTTAATTGTTTTGAGGAGTGAAGTATACATAAGTCACTTGGAAGACTAAGGATGTGGAAGGATAACATTAAGATGGATTTTATGCTAGCGAGGACAGACAGACAGAACTGGTTCAGAAACACTGTTTTCAGTGACAGGCTTTCGTGTTTGGGTTCTACTGCTGGAAAATTAGTTTAGTTACTTGTACACAATTCACCATAGATGTATAAATTACTGTCTTATAATTATCACAAATATTTCTATTTTTTTTTGTTTCATTTTAGCAACTAAATATAACAAAGTCACATGCACAGTTGAGTTATACAGGTATGTGTTCAATACAACAGAAGAAGGGAGATATGGCAAATAGCAAAATATACCCTTTCCAAAATAAATACAGACTTGACAAAGTGCACCAGTAGTGTTTCCACAATCTACTGTGAAAAAATGGCGGTCAATGACAAATCACTTTACCAGTGTGCAGTGACTGAATTCCTTGTGAAGGTGAACAACTTAGCTAGACATACACAGGCAGATTCACCAAGAAAATGGAAATGCCTGTATGGGTACCAGGAACGTCAGAAGGAGAGTAAAATATGGACGTCACTTATCAGTCACACTGCAGTAAGTTATAAACCACTGATACTGAAAGTAACAAGCAGATATCTGATATGTTCATCAAAAGAGGACTGAACAGAGATGGTTAGGGGATCAGCGCAGCTCAGTATAGTGTGCCAAGCTGTGCAGGAATGATACTGACCTTAGAATACTGGGAACTTTTTTTTACCTGTCTGCTTTTGGATAAACACTGAAAGACATGCAGGATATATCATTACAGTTACTTCAATGACATGCTGACAAGGCAGATAACTTCCTGTTGTGTGATATGTAATGAAAAGCTAGTTCAACAATTACAGTTCATAAACAAAGCCCAAGAGCATAGAATAGCATCATCTCTAACAATGAAGGCCAGAACAGTGCCAATGGACAGCAGAGTTATGAAAACTGTCTTCTGGGAAGCTAAACAGACTTGCGTAGGGTGTACTGGTTGACATCCTCTCCAGAGAAAGTCATCAACCCAGCACTATGTTCAGATAGACATGCACCTGTCTAATGAAAAAAAGGTTGTCATCCCTTACACAACCTCAAACTGTGCATCTGATAACAGACATAATCGTAAAGAATGGCAAGAAAGTGCTCTCCCATCTCCCTACAGTCTGGACTTCGGTCACTCAACCTACTACTTCTCTGAACCCTTGACAGATCATATGAGACGCTAAAATAGAAGAACAATGGCGCATTCAAGGAAACTGAATAATTGGCACGTATGTTTGAATGGATTTCTACCATATTTGAATGGCAAAAATTCATAGATCATTCTGCAAATTTTGTAGAAAAGCGATGCAATGCATCCAATCATTATCTATTTTCTTACATTTTAGTATTGCACATACATTTTATTTTAAAAACCACCACTCATTTTCCTTTGTTCTTTTTGGATCAGTTAGTGGTATTCAAATGTGTTGGTGAAAAGAGTTGGGAGTATTGTTGGTATTTTACAATGCAAGATGGATGAATAGGATGTCTGTCCTTGGTAACTCACTACTGTTCTACTGGTGTGTGAATCAAAAAAGGTTGGGGAACCACTGCTGTAAATGATAAAACAGAAGTCTGCAACTTCAGTCTGAAAGACAAATGGTTATCAAAAATGCTTGTGTGGCAGGATAAGCAGATGGATTAATGGTCAAACCAATAAGATTCAAATACTGATTTTGCTAGTACTGAAACTTTGTTACAAGTTGCTTTGTTGCCTTTGCTATGTCATAAGCACATGAACGGACCTGTTGCAGGAAGTATGCTTGTTCAGAAAACTGTGTTGCATTTCCTGCACATCTCTGCAAACCAGCACACTCTGACTGCAAACGCAGTGTGTTATTGTTCATCTGGCGTAAAGCACTGCGAATAGTTTCGTCCAATGGATTCTAAGGAATAAACAATGAAGTACAAAAACAAATTATTAGTACTGATACAAACACACAACAGAGTGCTATTTAAAATGACACAGAATATCATGGGTTTGAAAGTGGTCAAATCCATTACAGATATTTTAAATATGCTTTCTCTTTACCACACATCTCTGAAAGTGAGGTATGTGATAATTAACAAAAAATTCCAGGGCAGAGGTCCATTAAGAAGACATCACACAATGTTACCTGTTGTGGAACAAGGTGTTTGCAGTAACCCATCATAAACATATCCCTAATGCACATGAAAATTCACTGTGGTTACTTTCAAATTACTAGTTATGCCAGTCACAACATTCTATGGTTTTCTGCTGAATGATGATATACTTTGAACAGAAAAGTTTCTGGTTTCGCCATTAGCTGACACCTGTGGGCTGCATAACAGAACTGTAACTACAAGCACGACATTTTTAAAATTACAAACATTTTAGACAATATAAAATTTTGTGCACTATAGTGACCTGGCCTGTGAGATTTGTTCAGCACTTGGTAGATGAATATATTACCTGTGGAAAAATGGCACTGAGTTCAGCCACTGCAACTCTGATTCTCTCTGCACAAGGGATGAACGTGTCTCGTCCTTCCAGGTCCTGCATGGAGGCCCACAACTCCTGGATGCATTTGGTGACTTGATCTGTGCGCCTAACAACCTCCTCTGCAAGAGGCAGTACACTGCTCGTGCTTGTCAAACCATCCTGACTTGGACTCGAACAGCGATACAAGCTCTGTGTCATCACAGGTCTTACCAGGGTACTTGGACTGTCGTATTCATTCACAATGGGGTCCCGTTTCTGGTCCAAACAATACAAAATATCATTAAAATATACACTGCTCTTTTCATGTATGAAGTACACAATCTCTGTATTCAAGCAGCCATGAGGGTGTACTGGAGTGTAGTGGTAAAGAGAAATTCTACACTCCTACACTAAAAAGAAGTTGGTGATAATTTCCATATTCTAATTGCTTGAACATCAAGGAAAAGGGGCCTTCATAGTAATTGAATGGAGGTTAAATGTATCATAGTGGCAGTCTGGACAATGTAACAAAATAAAAAATCATTAATCATACCAGAAAAGGGCAAAAACACTCCTGAAATTGAAGTCAAGCAGGGAAGCTGGCTTCAGAAACTGTTACAAGAGTGCTCAGCCAATTTATAATAAATTTTCCCAGACACTTGATGAATGCAAGTAAATTTACAGGATTGGTATTTTCACACCTGATTCTTGTCCCATTTTCCAATATTTCCTGTGGCTGAGACATAATGATGAATATGAGGTGACTGGCTGCCACTGCGAAGAAGCAATCCCTCTCGAGGTTCATACATAGAAGCTGGTCGCTGTACAGAGGATCGAGGGGACTTCACATCTAACACTGGCTCTGTTTCTGTTTCACAGCCATTTGGAATTGAGGAAGAACATAATGATGAGGATGATGGATGAGGAAGAGACAATCCAGCATGCTGGATGATGGTACGCAGTTCACTGTTCTCACGCACCAGATTCTGAACCTGAAATGTAATAAACCAAATTAATCTGCAGATAACACATTCAGAAGCTATAGGTAACAACTAAGCCCAAATGGCAAATTTTACACTTAAAAGATTAACAAATGCAGTCTACACACAATATGAAAATTTTATTCACAACATAATGTTACCATATACAGTGAAACCTCGATGCATCGTTTTCAGCGGGGGTGGGAAATAAAAACGATGAATGCGGGAAAACGATAGATGCGGGAAAGCATTAAAAATTTAAAAAAAAA